CCATAAATCATTTTCCACTGCATTTAACTTTATTTTATTTCGGGTGTGTAAATGTTATCAATTGGAATCTAGATTCCATAATGAACTCTATCCTTATTTTACAGCCCTAGTTTTCGAGCGAATAGAAAGCGGGCACCAATTGAATTTACCTAAATAAACAAAAGTTACAAAACCCATTGATCTCTCTCTACTTTAAAGTAGTATCGAAGGGGCTTGATTGGGTCGTGGAGGACATTGAGACCGGTGAATGTCCTTTCCATTGGACAGCACAGTCATCACTTACCAAACAGTCCCGCTTATTGGTCTTCCCTCCACGATTTTTTTATAATACTACGTAGTTTTTCTGGAGACTCGCAAATATTATTAACTATAGAAGATAAATTCGTATCATTTTCTTTCTTTTTAGTAATGAAATTTTACTTTGGTGTGTTCACGTGCCGAAGCTGTCGAGTTTTCATGCTCCTATGAATGACGTGTAACTAAATATATACGTTTATGTTTTTAGTGTTGTTTAGTATTACGCATGGGCCGCAACGTTAATTAATTAATATTTTTTTATCTTTTTTTTTTACCTAAACAAAGAAAGTACTCTCATCCACCCCACTCTTTACAACATTGCCTTGGATCTCTTTTGTAGTAAAAACGATACATACATGATACATGCCAATATGTTTAAAATTGTGAATATACGTATATATTGAAGAAAACTGTCAAAGGTCATCGTTACAAAGGAATATTACTCTCACTTTTTTTATTTCACTGTCCTTTTAATAATTAACGAGAATTAGGAGTGTAATAACGTCCAGTGGTAGTTCCGTAATTTATAAAGAACAAGAAGCCCACAACAGGAAAATGACATTTCTGAACCCAAAAAAAAAAAAAATCATTCTTGACACCTACACTCATTATAAATCATAGGTCTTCCTCTTCCCCAACACAACTTCTCACAATTCATTAAAAGTGAGACAAATCAAGACAGAGAGAGAGAGAGATCCAAGAACATGAACCACACGGTGGATGATCAAAACATGGCCTTTATCTCTCAACTGTACCCTGATGTCTACACTCAGATAGTACCACAACCAGGTTTGTCCTTTTTTTTTTTTTATCGTCAACTAGTTTGTCCAAAAATTTCGTGTATTTTCTAATTTTCTTTTGTTTTGAAGTTCGACAAATCCAAAATTTCATGGATTTTTCTTATAAAAATACAAGTGGGTTTTGTTTTTACTAAATCTATCCGAAGATTTTTATCTTTTATATTTCATAGTCCGAAAAATCCCCAAACAGTCTAAGGAAGAAGTAGTTAATCAAAAAAAATAAGTTCTCGACCAACACGCATAAACCTAAAAAAATATCGATACCATTTACGTGCATGTGAAGTGTGAACACACATCAAGAGACTAAAAGTAAAAAAAATTCCAAACTTTTATTTATTTATTTAAGATGTTGTTTCTGTTTTTAGAGCATTATTAATTAATATGCTTTTACTTCTTTGGGTCGGCAGGAGATGTGAAGCAACCGAAGCGGAGGAGGAAGAAGAGCAAAGGAGCGTTGGGTTCTGGAGATGGAAGTAACTGTTTGTTTAGGAAGAGAAAGCTAACCGATGAACAAGTGAACATGTTGGAGATGAGTTTTGGTGACGAGCACAAACTTGAGTCGGAGAGGAAAGATAGACTTGCGGCTGACCTAGGGCTTGACCCTCGTCAAGTTGCCGTTTGGTTTCAGAACCGTCGTGCACGCTGGAAGAACAAAAGACTCGAGGAAGAGTACAATAAACTCAAGAACTCACATGATAACGTCGTTGTTGACAAATGTCGCCTTGAGTCTGAGGTATTTTTCTTTTTATCTTTCTTAATTTTTTTTTTTAATCCAAATTCCCTTTATATGCATCCGAACTTCGTTCTTTTATTAACCTTATTCCTACACTAAATTGCATAATATAAATTAAATAGAATAGTTAAATTTTGTTTATAAATTCTTTTGGTAGTTATCTTTTGGCATAAACGAACGTGAGCTCAAGGCTCGAAGGAATTAAAATATCAATAAATGAGACACAAAGTTAAGTTGTGTACAAAAAAAATAGGTGTCATCGAACAGTAGTTTGCCACCTTATTACACAACATTAACACACTTTTATATGTGTTCCGTACCATCTTCATATTTCTTAATAGTGACATAAGTCTTTGTCAATGGGCTCAATTTTAGAGTAGGCCCACTGACAGATACATTTAACTGAAGTGTAATCAGATGCTTGCATTGGTGATTAGTTACTTAATTAATGATTAATCTTACCTTTTTTTTTTTTTTTTTTTTTCCCTCAGGTTATTAAGCTCAAAGAACAACTCTATGATGCAGAGAGGGAAATCCAAAAACTAGCAGAAAGAGCAGAAGGAGGCTCAAGTAACAGTCCGATTTCGTCTTCGGTATCCATAGAAGCTAATGAAACGCCATTCTTCGGAGACTATACAGTCGGAGACGATGGTCATGATGACTACGATAACATGTTTTACCCGTTGCCGGAGAACAGTTACATCGATGGAGCGGAATGGATGAGTCAATACATATAAAATTACTAGCTTAATGTAATATTTTAATATCTAGTTATATCAAACTAGCCAGTATCGTGAATTAGGGAACCATATTTTTAAGTAAATTTAGTAGATTATATAACTGTTGGATGTACTAATGTACAAATATATATTAACGATGTGTTTCTTCTAGCTAATATAATTAATTTGGCTATCTTTATGTAAGCAACAATTGCTTAAGTAGTTATTAGCAACTTCTTCGTTGGACAGAAATATAACGAGTACACTAATTTGGGAGTTTACAAAGAACTTCATTTTACGCTGTATACCATAATTAAAGAATGAAAAAGCTTATTCTGTAAGTGTTATTTAATTCTTATTTAGAATGTTTAGCATATGAAAGATTAGCTCATTCGGTTGAACTTCTTGGAGTTGGTATATGGATTCAAAAAAAAAAAATGTTCAAGGAGACTAAGACATATGCATGGTAACTACGACGTCTGTAAATTTTATATGTAGCATAGTAGTTTTGGCTTTGTAGCTTAGTAATTATTATGTTTTCAAATAAATAAATTTTCATTAACCAAAAAAGAAGTGCGGCCAAAAAAGCCTTATCGGCTCAAAAATGTGCAGCAAGATTCGAAATTATTTTACTTTATAAACTGTAGAAGACAAAGGACTAGATCATGACATGCACATGAAGATAAGATGAGCAAAAACGGTTGTTAAAGCTTTTATTTTATCTCGATGGATAAGAGTTTACTCAATTTGAACAAAAGAAAAGTTGGGATAAAATATAACTAATTCTGGTAAAAACATTCTGATTCATCAAGTTTGATAGACCAGTTGATAACAAATGGTTAAACCTTTTGTTATCAGTCATATTTGCTCTATGATCATATATTCATCATGATTAATTAGTGATCTGGAATTGCATAATATAAAGTGAGAATTTCTTACTAGTCATCTTATCATGCATTTATAAATATGTTAAGACGTTTAGACACATCGTTCCTTTGAACATGCTCAGAGGTTATTTCATCCATACATCCTTTTCCCAGTCAATGCAAAATTTTACGAGTTTGGTACATGACAATATGACATGATTAGAGGATATTTTACTAAGTTGTTTTGGATTTTGATTGATGTTATGATATTTTATGATCTAGACATATACTAAATCGTAATCCAACTTATCGACCGAAAACAACATTATGGTCTGATAAAGCTAAGAAACTACGGACCCACGATGCATGAGAAGTGTTTGGCGAATAAGTAAAAGGATATGATGTGTAGTAGTTTGGGTAAAATAGAAAGTGCAGTGTAAAGAAAACGTATTGTCGTGGCTCTTTCTATAAGTGGGATCGTTTTTATAAGTACTCCTAACCACTTTATCAACACACATTCACTGTATCTAAATGTGTTGTTGTATTCTATAATGTTCGATCGAGTCGTCAAAAAACAAAAGTCTGTGACCTTTTTTTAAATATATAATATGGTGATCCGTCTACATCAATTACGTAATGATGGTACTAATGCTTATGTTTTACGAAATATGCTATTTTTATCTATGTAAGCCGGATTAACGTTTTGTTTAAGAGTGCAGTGAATTTTTATATCACTATTATATTTTGAAACAGAACTCGTCATTTTGTTATTTATAAACTTGTCTAAACAATAATAAATAAATAAAATTTGACAAGTCATAGTCTTAATGTCTTATTACAAAATTACAAGACCTGGAGTCATCTTCTTGGGTATCAGTAGGCAGTGGTTGCACGGTGGCATAAAACGAGACCCAATGGATTTCAACAATAATTAGTGGGCTTATCAAACAAGAACCAATGGGTTTTAGAGGCCATCAAATTAGCTTGGCAAAAACTAAGGGCCCGTCTCGAATATATATTTTTTCTTTCTACAGAGTTCTGACGTCATGTATATGCAAAATTACCGGTTAGACTATCATTTTTTCTTAATAAATCTACGGTAACGAATTGACTAGTGTACTAATAAAATTTAGTTTATTTTTGACAAAAATAAAGAAAAACAAAAAAATTAAAAACATGCAAATCTCGAGAGGAGCTTTGACTTTGAAATCTCGAAAGTATATGTCTGTATTAATTTATGTTTTATACTATCAAACAAAAATTTGACAAATAATAAAACTATTAAGCATTTATTATTAAATTTTATTACAAAATGAAGAAAAAATACTTTGTTAATAAATAAATACTATTGATCAACTACTATATTAGATTGGTAATTAAAGATGGAAATAACAAAAAAGTTGAAATTTCCTTAATTGATAGAAGAAATAAATGAGTAGATGAGTCACACCAAACTGTAGCTACCGTGTCAAAACCTTATCCAGTAACACGTGTACAGCTGGACCTCTCATTGTCGCACGTGTCAGATCATCAAACCCTAAAATCTTCCCCCAAAAAAAACTTTCCTCTTTCTTCGCATTCTTCTCCTCCTATCGGACTTTGCCACACCAGATCGGAGATTCTCAATCCTCTTTTTCATTACTTGCTATCTTCTTCAATCAGAAAAAAAAAAAAAAAAACTCTCGGACAGATTCAATGAAGCACTAGTGGTAAGAAGAGAAGAACACAACCCTAAGAGAAATTTTGAATATCTTCTTCTTCAGAGCCCGTCTGATCTGTCGGAGAGAAGAGAGACGACGTGTCTGTATTCTTTGTCTCTTATATATATCAAGAATCCTAGCTGGACTTCCACATCACTTACTACCTCAATTAGAAGAAGAAGAAGCTGCTGGTCTGTTTTCTCTGCTTTCCTTTTTCTAACTTTCTTTTTGTTTAATCTTTTCTATGCAGAACCACTCTTGCATGTAACATATGTACTCGTCTATGCTGATTTGGATTGAATTGGTTGATCAATTTATGCCAACTAGAGGTTGTTTCATGTATAATTCACTAGTTGTTCTTGTAATTATAGGGGCTTGAGGTTTTTCTTCTGCTACAGAATTCGTTTTGGTTTCTGAAGCGGTGAATTGTGTGTATGTGATTAGCATATTTAGTACTGATGCATGATTCAGAAGCTTAGAGGTGTTTATTAGGTTTGAGACTTTAGATTGCTATTAATGAAACCAATAGAACAGGGCTCTTCTTGCTCATGTTCTGTTCTGTTGTTCACAAATTACAATTCATTGATTGATATCATTGGAAGCTAAAAACTTATCCTTTTTGAGTTTTGGATTTTAATCTTCCTGTGATATTTGTGATGACTCTGTTTCTGTTAAGATTCTTGTTTTGACAGATTCTTGGTTTTTGTGTATAGTCTTGAGTAACACTAGTTGAAGAAGCTCATATAACAATGGGAACGAGCGAAGACAAGATGCCATTTAAGCCATCCAAACCAACATCTTCGGCTCAGGTTGATCCGTCTCTCCTCCTTCCTTTCTCACCTCACTCGCTTTGTATGGGATACAATTTCACGTATTAGGGATTTAGAAACTATACGGTCTTTGATGTGTCTATTTCTTGTTTGCAGGAAGTTCCTCCCACACCGTATCCAGACTGGGGAAATTCAATGCAGGTTCGTGTCACAGCCACAACTTTGGCTTTATGGTATAGTGTCTCGAGATACAGCGAGACTTCAGAACATAATATTATGTTTATTTTTGTAGGCTTATTATGGCGGGGGAGGCACTCCAAATCCTTTTTTCCCATCCCCAGTTGGATCTCCTAGCCCTCACCCCTATATGTGGGGTGCTCAAGTAAGTTTCCATTGTCTAGTTGTTGATGTGATTCTATGAAAAACAAGTCTGCATCTTTGTAAACCACTAACTGAGTTTTTTTCTGTTGTTCATTGCTTTCAGCACCATATGATGCCTCCTTATGGGACTCCAGTTCCGTATCCAGCAATGTATCCTCCGGGGGCAGTCTATGCTCATCCTAACATGCCCATGGTAATTTCCATACCGTTAACATGAACTTTAGCTATCGTTTAAAGCTTTTTGCTCTGTTACATTGGCATGCATAGATAAATGAGAACGTAAAAAACTTCCTTTACATTCTTCTGTTGTAGCCTCCTAATGCTGGTCCAACCAACAAGGAGATTGTGAAGGACCAAGGTTCTGGCAAGAAGTCAAAGGGGAACTCGAAAAAAAAGGGTGAAGGAGGAGGTGACAAAGCGCTCTCTGGTTCAGGGAACGATGGTGCCTCTCATAGGTGATTTTAATGACACTCTATTCAACTTGTTACTTTGTTCAGCTTGATTTCAGTGCTATATGCAGATCATGAGGAACATTATATGTAATTTTGATCTTTTATTTTTCGTTATGCAGTGATGAGAGTGTCACAGCAGGTTCATCTGATGAAAATGATGAGAATGCCAATCAACAGGTACTGTTATATCTTTGAAGTGTTTTCTTTTACTTCAATGTTTGTGTTTAAATGAGTTTCATGTTAATGTAGGAACAAGGTTCAGTGAGAAAGCCAAGCTTTGGACAGATGCTTGCTGATGGTAAGCTTTTACAGCTGCAATTATTATGACTTTCCTTATGCTTTGTGTTCTCCATGTTTCTTGACTTGTTAAAGTTTCGGTAAACAGCAAGTTCTCAAAGTACTACTGGTGAAATACAAGGTTCGGTGCCCATGAAGCCTGTAGCCCCGGGGACTAATCTGAATATCGGGATGGACTTATGGTCTTCACAAGCTGGTGTACCTATGAAGGTGTGATTTAATCATCATTTGACTAGCTAAGTAGCTTTTCTGATTTAGTTATTGACGTCGTCGTTACAAAATCCTCTGTTCACTCAATAGGATGAACGAGAGCTGAAGAGGCAGAAGAGGAAACAATCTAACCGTGAATCTGCTAGGCGGTCTAGATTGCGGAAGCAGGTAATATTCACCTCTATGTTAGACGGTTAGTATTATTCTACTCGCTTTGTTTCTCATGTAATTAACTCGTTTCATAATGAACAATTCGAATAGGCGGAATGCGAACAGCTTCAACTGAGAGTGGAGAGTTTGTCGAATGAGAATCAAAGCCTGAGAGATGAGCTACAAAGACTCTCAAGTGAGTGTGAAAAGCTCAAGACTGAGAACAACTCGATCCAGGTAACAATATCTGAAAATCACAATCGAACAATCTTTCGAGCATTTTCTTATTTCGCTTAGCGTGCATTTAAACAGTCACTGAATGAATTACAGGATGAGTTGCAGAGAGTGCTTGGACCAGAGGCTGTAGCTAATCTAGAACAGAATGCTGCTGGGTCGAAAGATGGTGAAGGAAAAAATTAACACTTAGGAATTTATAACGGATTATTGGGATTTTTCAACACTGGATTAAAAAAAAAAACTCGGTCCAACGTTATTTGAGATTACATAACTATACAATCGTTTGACATTTTTGTGTAATAGAGATTTGACCTACAAGACTGTAGAAGCTGCAAAAGCTACGATTACACTTTGTTTTATTAGTCATCGTGATTTGAATCCGATTCTGAATCTGAGTTTCTTTCTGCTGAGGGGCTCTCGTCTGCTATTTCTCCGAGTCGTTGGCCTGGTGGTACAACCTCATTGACTGTTGAAATAACAATGCGAATTAAATACACAGTTCAATAACCTGAAAGTAGAGTGTTAAACAAGATAGAGTTTGGAAAACAAACCTGATCCCAAGAGTTTGGCAATCATTGCTCGGATAAACCGTATTTCTCCTTGGTGCGACCTCACGACCTTCACCTGCAATTGTTTTGTCGTAAAGCATTTGGTAAAGTAAATCAAGAATAAGGTCTGAAGAAAGCAGTGACTTACCATTTCATCATATACTCCATCCACGAGTCGGTCCACTCTAGCTTGGTGTCGTAGGAGGAAAGGACGAATCTGGTTGTTATATATTTGTTTTGATCCCTATAGTCAACAAATAAGCAAATTTCAATTGGAGTAACTGGTTAAAGCTTGTTATATGTTAGTGGAATTAAAGAGATTGGGATAGGTACCTCGACAGTTGGGAGTTGAAGCCAGACAAGGAATGCAAATTTCACATGATAGTACAATGGGAACCTGCAAATATCGAGTGTATTGAGTAACAATACTTTGCAAGTTAAACAATCGCTGTCTCTTGATAAAGGCCATTAGAAGAACCATATAACATATGTTGAAATCATCAGTACCAGGAAATGATCTTGTCTGTGAACACTTCAACAAGGCTGAAAGAACCATAAGCTGCACAGAAGGTAAGGAGAGAGGGATAAAGGACAAAAAATATCAAATGCCATGTGAAAGAAGGCCAAGGGAGATTGCAATGAACCTTTTAAAGATAAACGGCATAAAAACAGTAGAGAACAACCAAAGAAGAGGTGAGGAAAGAAATTAGAAAGATCATAGCAATTGCAAAAACAATATCCAACCTGCCCAGTAGATAAGCCATTTTCGTTGTTCATTCTCATCTCTACTCTCAATGGCCTTGAAGGTAGAGTACACAGGCAACCCAATGCCAATGGAACAGCTGCAAAAAAAACAAGACTCAGATATATCCGCAAACGTTTCCGAATCCTTGAGTCAACTACAGCTATAACACCTTCTAATAGAGTAAAGAATCCAAAAACTCAGCTAGAACAAAAGGAACTCAAGATTCCCTAAAAAGAGATTGACTCTTTGCCAAAAGATACCCGCCTAAAGTATCTCCACAAGTTGTAATACCCTACCCGCTAAGCTGATGATAATGAGAAAAGAAAACACCCTACCCCATTGCTTCACATGTAAATGTGCATCACTCAATCAGACCTTACAATTAATCACTCAAACAATTCCTCCAATTCAGCCATCTTATTGTACCATTGATTTAGAAACAATAGATGGCTTTCACCTTACAATTAAAGATGGAAACCTCACCATGCTGTACGAAGTACGATATTCGAACCAAGTGGAGAAAGCAATACACGCAACCCAACCTGAAAACCATAGAGACAAACAAATGTTTCCATCATCCATCCAAAAGTTGAGAATATCCTCACAAAAAAAAGGTAATCCAAAAAAACAATCACCAATCCATTACAGAAGAAATCTGAATTCGAATAAGGCAGACGATGACGAAATCCTAAACATACATATCTAATCAAGGTAATCATAAACTTTGACACGAATCCCCAAATCACGGATCAGAACAAAAGCCTTACAACCTGAAACATCCATCTGAGAGAAGAAAGATTACCTCGCTGGTAAATCCGGATCCCAGAAGCGCCATGGATGGAATCTGAGAAGCAAATCCGCTCATCGGCGATTCGTACGTCGGTTTACCAATTTGACGAACTCACTCCCCAAAAAGGTCACTTATGAAACTTTTATATGTTTGAATAGAGAGAGTTTATGAATGATTAAAGACTCTCGCTCGGCCAGAAACTCTATTTAAGAAATATTTTTATTTCCTTTATTAAAAAGATAAAAAAACACCAAAAAAAAATATTAAAGGCGGTAGATACAATTTCTATTTTCTATTTCGTTGTAAAACCAAACCCGGTTTATCTAAAACCGCCAAGCTGATGTGGCAACAAGTGCTCTTCCATGCCAGCACAGCACCAATTCTCCTTGTCGTTTCGCCACGTGGAATCCTCTAACCTGCGCCTTCTCCAGTAAACACTCTGCTTGGAAATCGGCAAACTGGCTTAGCTGGATCGGCCTCATCCCGGCGGCGCAGAAAGCTTCCCTCCAAGTCATATCACCGGTGTTTCTCCTATCAGCCGCCGTCTCCACCGCCGCAGAGATTTTGGGACGCAGAACGAACGCTTCCACTATCTTCTTCACCAAATCCCCGGGAGGAGCTGCGGCGTCGAGCGACTCCAATACCATCGTGTAAAACTCAAGAGCGCTAACAAACTCTCGGCGGAATGATCCAGATCCGGCGATCTCCGTCCATCCTTCACTATCGACGAATACGACGACCTTGGGTGATACTCTCCGTAAATTGTTCACGAAATCGGCGATTCCACTCAAACGGCGAAATATCGCCGGAGAAATCAAAACGACGGTTCTCTCTCCCTCGACGAACCTAATAGCTTTGAACGATAACATCTCAAAAGTCTTCAACAGAACGAACTCGATCTGGAAACGAATCTTCATCTCCGCCGCGAATTGAGTTAAGTTTTCTTTAACAAGCCTCGTCTCGACGGCGCACTCCTCCGCTACCACCGCCGTAACTCTTAAAAACCCTCCGCTGACAGATTTCTCGGCGATCTCTCTCATGAGCGATGCGTATTGGCCACCGAATCCAATCTCGAAGTCAACCACGTGGACGAACGGAGAAGACGACTGAGAGCTCAAGGAATCGAGGATGGCTTGGTTCGCCGTGAAATGAGAGAAGAGAGGGATCGGAGAAATCCCGGAATATTCCTTAATGGCCCTGATCCTCTGAACGATCTCGGACCAAGAAGATAAGCGGATAGGAGTCCGGTTATTTCCGGTTAAAAGAGAACCGAGAGCTTCCTTGAAGTAAAACGCAGCTCTCTGTAACGGCCTACCCGCGGGAGATCTCAGACGTTGATTGAGACGTGATAAAACAACCTGAGCGAGCTGTAACTCGTCCGACTCAACACAGTCCACGACGCGGATAAGATCCTCAATGAAATCAAATCCTCCATTGTCGACGCTGTCGAGAGAATTGAAACCGTAGCCGGTCGCTTGGTTCTGACCGGGGTAAACATCGGTCGATGACTCGAAATCCGACGGTTGAATCTGATCGGGAAAGCCAGGGAGATTGGAATCGACGGCGTAGAGAGGCAAGATAGTAGAGTCGGTGGTGGAGGTGGGAAAACTGGTTTTAAGAGAGTTAGGAGCAGAATCATCGTCAAGCTCCAATTCTTTCATGATGGAATCCCAATCCATGGAACGCATGACATGTTCGTCCATGGATAAGTGATTACTATCAGTGCTGTTGTTGTTGGTCGTCGTGTCCTGAGGAGATGAAGCTGGGATTTTCATTTGAAGTGAAAAGGGAAGCCTTTAACAAAGTTATTTTTCTTTCTTTCTTTCTATGTGGAGGAGGAAGAAGGTGGCGGGGCTTTTGAAAGGTATGATTGGTAAGCTTTTTATCGTTGAGGAAGTGCGTGCAAACAAAAAAGATTTCAACTTGGTAACCGTGTCTAATACGGGTTTCTTTGGTTTACAGAATATGTATTTTTTTGTTAAAAAAAAAAAAAAAAAAAAATCTAACTGACAGTGATTTTTAAATTTGATTCCGTTTTAATATTTTTTTTGCTGTGTATTCAAAATTTTATGAAGTAACACAAATTCACATGGAAAGGCTTAAATTCGGGTTACTTGTATAGTTGTATGCTTATGTTTAACGTATCACGTATGCATATTTCTCATAATATATCCCTAAAATTATACACTGATTTACAAAAACTTGCAACCTTTTTTAGCTGATAAAGAAGAAACTTCTCCAGCTCTCAAAAGGGCTATAATACAAATAAAGTTTCTCTACTTTAAAAATTAAAAATAAAAGCATTTCGATTGAAAGAGTTCCAAGCTCCACTATGTTGATTGATCATCAAGGATGTGAAAGTTGAAGAAAAGAGAAAAATAAAAGGATGTTTTTAAAAGGTTAATGATTTCTTTCCTTTTTATTGTGTGAGTGAGTGGGATTTATTATTTGGATTTTGTTTTTTTCTTCCTCAAATATTAGACGCTATTGAACCAAAAAAAAAACATTTAACTGATCATAAAAATAAACTGAGTTTTGCAAATTTAATCTATATACTGTATGCTAATGCTATACCATACGAAAAAAAAAAATTATGTATTGTTCACATGCTTCACATCGTATATCAAAACATAATATCACACTGGTGCTTGCGACAAAAATAAAATAAAAAAAAAGGGAGTGACCAGTGGGCTTTAAGTGGAACCCACAAGATGGACACGGTAAAAAGCTAAGGGGGAAAGTAAGCGGGCCCACAATGGGCTAACTTTTGAGGTAATTTTGTCGGAGGATAACTCCTTACAAGGCCCATGGGCCATTGTTTTTTATTTTTAACCGTAGAGAGAGAGAGAAAGAGAGAGATTGACTGATCATGAAAAGTCAGCGCGTAAGAATCACGCCCACTTCTTCGTCTTCTTCTCTTTAAGCTTTTAGTTATTAGTCAGTCCCCCCACCACTTCTCTCATCTCTCTCTATACTACGCTTCCTGCAAAGCAGAGACGATCGAATATGTTCTCCTCTTCACTTATTTTTTTGCCTTTCATTTTCATGCAAATTTTTCTTTCTTTTTTTCTTTTCTTTTTTTCTCTCTTTTTAGTGTTGTTATTACAAAACAAACAAAACCCACTCCTCATTCTTTTGAATATACTTTCTTTTTCCTTCTTGTTAAATTATCAAAAAAGTTTCATGATATCTTTCTTTTAGCTGATTAAAGGCAATATTAATCTGAATTATTGGATTATCATAAAGCAAGTATTAATAAAGATATGTTCATCTTCTAGTTTATGTTTCTATTAATCTCGGGGAGAAAAGCTCTTTCCTCTCATTGAGACATTATTCAACCTTTAGTCCTTTACTATCGTGCAGGGAAAAAGGGTCCGCTCACCCCTTAATACATTAAAATTCAGCTTTTTTCTTGCATAAATTTGTCTTTTTAAAAATCTTTAAACTTTCTCTACGTTATAATTATTGTAGATTGTATGCGTTATAGCGGCTCAATACCTCAATTAATTCACTAAAGTTCTCTTTTGGCAGCTTTTTAAAAATTATATTCATTATTAATCTAATGACTAATTCCACATTTTTGTTACTTCACATAACTATATGACTATATATATATATCTATTTTAACTAAGAGAAATACTCATTCCACAGTGTGAACGTCTGCATGCAAAGGGGCTCCACTTGTAGCCTAATCTCATGCTTAACAAATTACAAGTTTTATATTTTTCCCGATCATCACATATAGGAACGTTTTAAATGTAAAATATACAATCTGTGACTGGTGATTGTTAATTATGCATATATATTAATTACAATATCACGTACCTTACCTAGATACCTACTTCTTGCCGTCAACAAAAAAAGATACCTATATCTACATGATTTTTGGCAAAATTTATGAATATTTCATTTTGGTGATTAACGAGTTATGTTAATTTAACACACGTGATTGTATATTAAAAGTTTTTTAAAACAAACGAATGACGATCATATCTTTTATATTCCCACTCTGACAATATTCTTTTTACCCGATCGACCAATGGGTCCTCTCGTTACCAAAATTGTCCCACTGCCAAAGGTTTCTTTCTTATTCGTTTCTCTATATTGCTAATTACTGTTATAAAGTATCTACTATTTGCACGACTAATTTTTATAGAAAGACATGAGAAACGAAAATTTAACACGTAACTCAATTTCTATTGGAATCTCTCTAACGATGTACTCGCCATATAGAACTTTGAAAGGTTATGAATTGCTACGTTTGTGTGTTTTTAGACTTTTAGTTTCCTGATCATTTTTATAAACAAATTAAATAGTGTTGTCTTTTATCATAACATATGCGTTTGTGTAATTTCTCAAACCCACCACTACCCAAAATAAATAAATAAAACCTTATTTATATATATATATATATATATATAAAAGGTCATATACTTAGGAAGTAAGGAAAGGAAAGGGAGGAGAGGCCGATGATAGACGACCCAGACGCTTCTTCCTTCTATTCACAAAGTGAGAAGCTTCATATTCACAAAAGCAATTATATAGTAGATTCTTATTTTATGTCATTCACAATAATACTAAAATACTTATATAATAATATAAATTATTTCTCTATGACAAATATCATTCACACGATATAAAAATCAAAGTTTTAACGTAGTAACGGAGAAAGTGTTCTGACATGTTGTCAAGTACTGACTCTCCAGGGTAACTTTCCTGTGAACTGAGACTATGTTTAACAAAATCTTAAGGTTAAAGAGTCTATCATTAATCATGCTGTCATGATTTTAAAAATGTTATAATTTGATCAAATGTTTTCTTATTTCTTTCTTAAACTTATTCATGTTCTACTGGAATTTAATTTGCAAATTTTTAATGTACTGATGGTAGCTTATACATTTTTAAGTATGTATTCGATTAGACCGTCGATAGAAGAAACAAATTATATGTATTAAAATAATAAATATCCAAATCTATCTAATTCAGATTGGAGTAGATTTCTTATTTTTTTCCTCAAAATGTAAACATTTATATTTCAACTCAATTACAGGTTTAGTAATATGAATTTTCAAAACCATGAATAAGCTGGTGGTAGAAACAATTTGTTAGCGTCATATTCAATCAAGAATTCAGTTAAAAATAAAATATTTATATGTAGTCAATAATGTACCGACAAAAAAAAAATACGAAAGAAGGAATTAACGGAGGATGTTCTATTTTGCAACACATTGAGTAGTCACAACTCGCAACATGCCTTGTAGACTCTTCCCCATCAAGAATATATTACTTTACACGTTTTTTCTTATTATTAATTTACATCCTTTTGTTATTATTGTTTTTTTAGTAAAATTAATAATATTGTCCAGAATAAAATATTCTTGTATTAATCTTTGTACGGGATCATTCATTGTTTGATCGTTTACTATTTTTTAAAAATATACAATTACATATTTTTGTTTTTGTTACGATCATACGTATATAGCTTCACAAAAAGTTGTTGTCTAACGTACCAACAAGTATGCTCTGTTATTACTTGTAATTGTAAAGATGATAAAATGTTCTTAGTACTAGGTGTTCAGCTCAGCATAGCATCTGCCTGATTCTAGAGGCCATTCATTTTGTCGAATAAATAAAACTTGAAACCCATCATAGGATAAATCTGAATTAATTCGTTTGTACACATGTGTAGTCTTTTTTTTTGTTTGTTAAAAGATTATACGTGTGTAGTCTTTGTCTAACAAAACTCAAAATCCCTGATATATGTGTTTTATCATGATGTTTACACAACTTCACTAATCTATCTTAGTTATAATCAGCAACAAACTTTTTCTGTACGTAACTTAGTATTTTTAACGTGATTGTATTTGTAGCACAACTCTTTTGTCATTCAGTACGTAGCATGCGAACAGTTTATGACATGGTAAGCATGAGACTTTAGTTAGGAAAGTGTTTTTGTCCACGAGCCAACAATTAACCAAACACACTCATGAGTCACACGTAAGTTCTCAGCTTCACTTCCATCGAATATATATGTTTATCATCACTAATAAAGTCAAACACAATTCCTAATTCCTAATTCAATTCGCATCGTAGGTATGTCTTTAATTTTCACACGTTACCAACTTTGTTTGATTCTATTTTTGTTTTTTGGTATTTCCATTTTTAGGATGTTACGTGTAAACTGTGGTGAACCGATCACTCTAATAACCATGGTTTTTAGATTCGTCTGAATGTAATTAAAATTTAGACCCTGTCAAACGAATATATTATTAAGCTTATATCATTCAATATTACAAATTTACAATATATATTGCTAGGCCCTGGTTTGAGTACTATCTATTAATTCTTACATGTAAATGCAAATTTTATTCGTACGTACATAGATTAATAGCTTGTTAATTATGTATTTATATAAAATAATCTTGTATCAACATTTACATATAGAGTAAGATAATCAGACAACTAAAGATCATGGACAAGTTAAACTTACATACAGAATCCAATCACCCAAAAGTATGATTAGAATGAGAATCTCAGTTGTCACGCACGCATACAAGTTGGTTGGGGAACTCACAGTCACACAGCCATGATTGGCCCAAACCCTTGAATAAACGGGCCTGTGCCTGTTGAATAATTACCCTTCATGCACTGTACAGCTTAATTTTGGGGGTGGCCATATCAATTCTAACATCAAACTATTTTGCAAGTATTCGAAAAGTATTGGGATAAATATCATTCAATATATAGTTTGAGTTTAAGAATACGCTTTTTACACAAACGAAACTGGAATGTGAGTTTGATCGTTAAATTCCAAAACACATGTAAATACATCTCTTAGAAAGATCAAACATGTTGGATAATTATATCGTATCGATAAAACTATGCACCGGCAGTACCATCACTCAAAACAGTGTTCTTTTGTTTGGACTAACGCGCGATGCAAACTAGGCATCTCTGTTGTCTAGTTCACAAACAACATTATCATCACCAACAGTTCTTATCAGCTAGATCTTTCAAATTGCAAACTTTGTGCTTTAGCGCGGTAACTTGATTTTGTTATGACAGAACTATATATAGAACCGTGCACTTGTCAACGTAAAGCAAGCACGTGTCCAACAATTAAGCCACGTGGTCACTACAGACCCTACAGTCTCTCTTCTCTCGTTCTTTATATTATACGATTTTTAATAAGCATTGCATTGAATAACAAAAAGTAAACGAGCACAATGACTAGATTTACGGTACTGCCACTCTCTGTTCTTCTCGTTCTCTTGTTCCTCTGCACTCTGTCGTCCGCTAAGTCGGAAGAGTTGGATGAGAACGACGTTGCCGTGCCGTCATGTTGCGGGTTTTCGTCGCCTCTGTTGATCAAGAAAGATCAATGGAAACCAATCTTTACATCGAAGTTCGGACAGATCTCAACCGTTCAAATCGGCGATGGATGCGGTGGAATGGGTCCTTACACAATACATTCCATAACTTTAGAGCCGAACATGCTTTTGCTCCCTCTTCTTCTTCATTCTGACATGGTCTTCTTCGTTGACTCTGGTACTTAAAAAACTACTCCAGTTTCTATGTGTTTTGTTTACGGATCAGTTCTGTCTTATTAGGTTAAACTTAATTGTGGTGATTGTATTGTATAGGAAGTGGGATTCTGAATTGGGTGGAGGAGGAAGCGACGAGTACCGAGATAAGACGAGGGGACGTTTACAGGCTACGTCCCGGTTCTGTTTTCTATTTACAGAGCAAACCGGTGGATGTCTTCCTTGGAATTAAACTTAGGCTTTACGCAATCTTCTCGAACAACGACGAGTGTTTACATGTAAGTTTGATATGATTAACTCCTTTTTTTTCTTTCTATTTCTTGACATTTTACTTGCTTCTCATTGTATCGTCTTCCATGGATGCAGGATCCTTGCTTTGGTGCATATTCAAGTATCACGGATCTCTTGTTTGGTTTTGATGAGAAAATTCTCCAGTCAGCTTTTGGGGTATGCATTTATCTCTGTTTGTATAAGTTTATATATACATGCGTACGAAAGATGGTATTGAGGCAACTTGGGAGCTTGGGAACTTAGGAACTGTGTATTTCTTACTTCTCAAGTTACTCTGGTAGATGATCTTTTGGGTTGTGCTAAGTGATTGATTAAATTCGATGGTTTCAATTAGGTTCCTGAGAAGATTATAGAGTTGATGAGGAACCGGACAAAGCCACCGTTGATTGTGAATGATATACTTAGCTCGCCATGTGTGACCAACGAATGGCAGCTCCAACCACGATTACTCAAATTCTTTGCTGGAACCGTAAATTCGATGGAAAACAAGAAGAAGAAGGAAAAGGTCAAGAAAGCAAAGACATTTAATGTTTTTGAATCCGAACCGGATTTCGAAAGCCCCTATGGTCGTACTATAACGATTAACAGGAAAGATTTGAAAGTTTTAAAAGGCTCAATGGTTGGAGTTTCAATGGTGAATCTAACTCAAGCATCAATGATGGGACCGCACTGGAATCCATGGGCTTGTGAGATTTCAATTGTGTTGAAAGGAGCAGGAATGGTTAGGGTGCTTAGGTCTTCGATTTCAAGCTCATCATCTGATCAGTGTAAGAACGTGAGGTTTAAAGTAGAGGAAGGAGATGTTTTTGCGGTTCCACGGTTACATCCAATGGCTCAAATGTCCTTCAACAATGACTCGTTAGTGTTCATTGGGTTTACAACTTCAGCTAAGAAAAACGAGCCACAGTTCTTAGCTGGGAAGAGCTCTGCTTTGCGGATGCTTGACCGGCAAGTCTTGGCTGCATCGCTTAATGTGAGTAGTGTGACGATAGATGGATTGTTGGAAGCTCAGAAGGAAGCGGTTGTGCTGGAATGTCCTTCTTGTGCGGAAGAAGAGAAAGCGAAGCTTAATGTGGAGATGGAGGAGAAGAAGATAGATGATGAGAGGAAGAGAAGACATGATGAGAGGAAGAAAGAAAAAGAAGAGGCGAAGAAGGAAGAGGAAGAAAGGAGGAGACAAGAAGAAGAAGAAGAGAGGAAGCGTTGGCCACCTCATCAGCCTCAGCAACCACCACAACCATTCCAACCGCAGCCGCAACCATCCCAAGAAGAACCTCAGGAACCAAAGATGGAATGGGGAATGTCAGGTGATGAAGAGGAGATGTAAGCCAAAGAAGTACAAGAGAACGCTGAGAGAAAAGGTTAACAGTCAAAGAGTGTTTTGTTTTTTTGTTAATGGTTATAATTTTGGTTCGGAGTTCGGACATCTCGTTGTTTTTTCCCCTCCCCCTGTTTATTTGTTAATCGTTTTGTATTGTTTTTGTTGTTGCAATGTTGAAGGTTGTATATTAATAGTACTGTGTTCACTAGATGGGGAATGAGAAATAATTAAGATTTCCCGGATATTGTTGATTGACTGATCGTTTACTTCTAGTTATTGATAACTCTTTAGATTAATTACATGATAAGTTTTTTTTCTTTGGTGCTGTTTATTATCCTTGAAGGTGAACTGTATTTGCTATAACTAGCCTAGCTTATCATTTGTTTTACAATTGTACAATGTATTCGTGAACCTCTTACCACGGGTCCAACGTATTAAAGATTTGGATGATAACAGAGAAGCAGTAAACAAGTTTACGTGTATGACTCTGTCTAAGATATTGTGTTTAGTGTAATTTAGGCTACACTCTGGTTCTCCACTGCTCTTTCTTTTTGTTGTTGGGAGTTGGGACTTTCTGCGTGACTTTTAGTTAGTCATGTATTGGGCCTAATCAGATATGTCACACGAATTGGGCCATACTTGGGCTTGAGATATGGACCGGTTTCGTTTTCCATTTTTCTTATCGCAGACAAGATTAAAAATGGAAATAGATAAAAAGTCATTGACAAAAATACCCTCCGTGGCGGTCCCGTCCTGGTTACATAATAATAGAATAATCTGAAATTTGCCCTAATAGTTTTGGTTTTCTGCATCAACCCCTTTATTCGAATCTCGACGGCAGAAACAAGGGCGAAGCTCCTAAGCTAATCTAAACCTTATCCCCGGTGAGAGCGTTCATTCCTGTGAAGCGATGACAGAATTCGAAGATCACGAGGGAAACGGTACGGTTGCTGACGCACTTTACGCCGAGGATAATGGTGGCCGCGGCGACGAAATCGAGGACCAATTAGACTCGAAACCTAAGGTAGTTCCAGCTTCTGTTTGGTGGAGTTTCAAATCTATGTTTCTTATCAAATTGTATTCAATTGGGGATGAGTTTTTGATATAGGATTGAAAAATTGAGATGGTTAGGTTTAAAGGTAAATATTGTTTATCTTGTAGCTCTAATCCACGATTGATCTACGGTTTAATTTATTCATCATGTGTTGGGTTTCTGTTTTGTTTCATTTCATTGATGTTTAAATTGTAATTGACGAGTTTTTTTTTGTGTGTAGAGAGAAACCCGTGACCATGAAAGAGAGACTTCAAGAAGTAGAGATAGAGAAAGAGAGAAGGGACGTGATAAGGACAGAGAAAGGGATTCTGAAGTCTCTGGTCGAAGCAGGGACAGAGATGGAGAGAAAAGTAAGGAGAGAAGTAGGGAAAAAGACAGGGACAGAGATCGTGAGCGTCATCACAGAAGTAGTCGTCACAGGGATCACAGTAGGGACCGTAGTGAAAGGAGAGAACGTGGTAGTAGGGATGATGATGACCACCGCCGAAGCCGTGATCGTGACCATGACAGGTGAAACCAAATCATCTTTTCCAATTTAGATGGAATCTTATTTTGATTTTGTTGAAGGTACTGACTTGGCTTATTTTTGTTTCTTTTTAGGCGTAGAGATGATCGAGGAGGTCGACGCAGTCGTCGATCTCGTTCTCGTTCAAAGGATAGATCTGAGCGAAGATCAAGGTCACGATCTCCGTCGAAAAGGTAGTATTTTTTCTCGTTGGATTACTCTTTTATGAAATAATTGCTTCAATCTAAGAATTTTTCTAACCTCAATATATATTATGGCAGTAAGCGAGTCAGTGGATTCGATATGGCACCTCCAGCCTCTGCAATGTTAGCTGCTGGTGCTGCTGTTACAGGTATCCGTTATATCTCTTTAGTTTAGCACCTTCTCATTAGCATAATGTAGAGTTCATACCTAATGCACGTAGTAGGTAAAGGTTTGATACAAATTTTACGTGGGACACAACTCTAAAACTGAGAGATTTTGGTGGTTTGGTGTTCTTTGTGTTTCTTGTTTGGTTTTCTGTTTTGGTAAGGCAAACTGGGTGTGGGCTGGTTAGCTCTTATATACAAGGACGAATTGCTTCAATGGTTATATGGGTATTGCTCATCCTCAGTCCCTATCACTGGTTATGTTAGTCTAGCAAATATTTTCACCATACGAGACTGAAACCTCTTGATATGGCCATATTACCAATGCATTTTCAGGGACGATGAACTAGGTTTTCCATATGTAATTTTCTCATGTATTAACCTATTTTCCTTTTTCAGGCCAAGTTCCTCCCGCACCACCAACTCTTCCTGGAGCTGGGATGTTTCCCAACATGTTTCCGTTGCCGGCTGGACAGGTCTGTGATCTTTACCCTTTATTTATTGTCCTTATTTAAGTCTTAATTAAACTAAATCTTCTATGTCCTGCAGCCTTTTGGGGGACTCCCTATGATGCCAATTCAGGCTATGACACAGCAGGTTAGCTTTTCTTTTTCATGTATGCAAATGCTATGTGTTTCTCTGTTTCTAATCTTGTCTCCCTATTTAATTTATGTACCTTCAGGCAACTAGGCATGCTCGCAGAGTCTATGTCGGTGGGCTTTCCCCTACTGCAAATGAACAGGTTAATATCCATTTTTTTTTTTTCATTTTTTCTCTCTGAATTATGTTCCAGCAACTGATACTAACAGTGATTTATGATCCTGTATTGCAGTCTGTGGCTACGTTTTTTAGTCAAGTTATGGCTGCTGTTGGTGGAAACACTGCTGGTCCAGGTATGTAATCCTGGCCCGATGCTAGTAGAGAGTCCTTTGTTGATGCTTGTATTAATCATTTTTCTTTTCTTTTTTTTTTTCTTTTTCGCAGGTGATGCAGTTGTTAATGTCTACATAAACCATGAGAAGAAGTTTGCTTTTGTTGAAATGCGATCTGTTGAAGAGGCAAGTAACGCTATGTCTTTGGACGGGATTATATTTGAGGTACGTTTAATGTCTGGTTGAGTTTTAGTACTAGCATTAATTTGGCTTATAGGTCATCATCAGCTTTTCCTTCTTTTTAAAACCAACAAGACAGAAATCAGAAATTTTATATGAAATTATCTTTCTCTCAGGGAGCTCCAGTGAAGGTGAGGCGACCTAGTGACTATAACCCATCTCTAGCTGCAACTCTCGGTCCAAGCCAGCCCAGTCCCAATCTAAACTTAGCTGCTGTTGGTCTGACTCCAGGTGCTTCTGGTGGGCTTGAGGGACCAGATCGTATTTTTGTTGGTGGACTTCCATATTACTTCACCGAATCACAAGTCAGGGAGTTGTTGGAGTCCTTTGGAGCCCTTAAGGGCTTTGATCTTGTAAAAGATCGAGAAACAGGGAACTCTAAAGGATATGCCTTCTGCGTGTACCAAGATCTTTCCGTTACAGATATCGCGTGCGCTGCCCTAAATGGTATCAAGATGGGAGATAAGACTCTTACAGTGAGACGTGCTAACCAGGGAACAATGCAGCCAAAGCCTGAACAAGAGAGTGTCTTATTGCATGCACAGCAGCAAATTGCGTTTCAGGTAAACTTTATCTGCTCAAGACTGTTGAATGTTGGATGTTGAATGTATAAAATTAAAAGACGGATTCTTTTTTCTTTTGCAGAGGATTATGTTACAGCCGGGTGTAATGGCAACAACTGTAGTATGTCTGACTCAAGTTGTAGCTGAGGATGAGCTTAGAGATGACGAGGAGTATGAAGATATCATGGAAGACATGAGACAAGAAGGCGGAAAGTTTGGTAAGGGACCTCTTAATTGCGTAATATGGTCTATTTTAAAATATAAGATTAAAAGCATATTGATTTGTCTCTCTGTTTTCTTGGTTGTACTGTTTTACAGCCTTTTGCTATAAAGAATCAGCCCTAACATACACAGACAGGAGACTGCATAAACCTCCTAATTTATTTTTCATCAAAGACCACTTTTTCTTAAAAGAAAAAAACTAACTTGTTTTTGTCTCTGTTTTGTTTTCATGTATTCGAAATGTGTGTTGTTTAACTCTTAAAATGCAGGTGCTTTGACCAATGTTGTGATTCCGCGTCCAAGCCCCAATGGCGAGCCAGTGCCAGGCCTTGGCAAGGTTTGTACCAAAGACTTATCTCTTTCTCTACTTATTGCATATTTCATTTAGTCAGTATCTGACAGTCGGTTGTATTTGCTGTGCAGGTGTTTCTGAAGTATCTTGATACAGATGGCTCGTCCAAGGCAAGAATCGGGATGAATGGTAGGAAATTTGGAGGAAACGAAGTCGTTGCAGTGTTTTACCCTGAAGACAAGTTTGAACAGGGTGATTATGGTGCCTGATGCCTTCTTTTTGTTTGCTTTCTATTACTTAAGTTTTCTAAGTACTTTGTTTCAGTTGAAGACCCTTTTGCACGCGTGTAAGACTAAGAGATGATCAATACATTGTGTGCTTGTTATAACACTTTTATCACCAAACCAATCGTTTTGATCTCTTTCTTAAATTCTCATCTCAAATAATCAACGAGCCAGACAGAGTAAAGTCATGAATCTGTCGTAAATGTGATGTGTTTATATTTACTCTAAGCAACACAAAAAGTTGGGTAAATTTTTTATTAATGTAGAGATTTAATAGCTGCTGATAGAAGTAAAAAATGAAAAAAGAAAGAGAAGCCAATCTTGTAAAACCCAAAATCTCTGTTAAGCCAACTAAACCCTAAAGGCGTCTCCTTTTTCGCCACCACTCATTTCTGCAAAATGGCTTCATCTCGTATCTCTCTCCGCCTTGTTCGCCGTTTTACCACAGCCGCCGCAGATGGTACGACCACTGTCGAAGCTACTGCACCGTCTTCAGGCAAAATCACTGTCTCCAAAGCCAAGTCCACTCTCCGGAAAGAACACGATCCAGACAAAGCCCTTAAGATCTACGCCAATGTCTCCGATCACTCTGCTTCACCTGTTTCATCTCGCTACGCTCAAGAGCTCACTGTTCGCCGCCTCGCCAAATGTAGCCGTTTCTCAGACATCGAGACCCTAATTGAATCCAGCAAAAAGGATCCCAAAATCAAAGAAGAACCTTTCTACTCGACGCTTATCAGATCTTATGGCCGAGCCTCTATGTTTGGTCACGCCATGAGAACCTTCGAGCAGATGGATCAATATGGCACACCCAGATCAGCTGTTTCGTTCAACGCCTTGCTCAACGCTTGTCTCCATTCTAAGAAGTTTGATAAAGTCCCCCAGCTGTTCGACGAAATTCCTCAAAGGTACAGTAAGGTCACTCCTGACAAAATCTCTTACGGTATATTGATTAAGTCATACTGTGACTCAGGTTCGCCTGAAAAAGCTATTGAGATTATGAGGCAGATGCAAGGTAAAGGCATGGAAGTAACTACCATTGCTTTCACCACCATTTTGAGTTCTTTGTATAAGAAAGGTGAGCTCGAGATAGCTGAAAACTTGTGGAACGAGATGGTGAAGAAAGGTTGTGAATTGGATAGTGCAGCTTATAATGTTCGTCTTATGAGTGCTCAAAAGGAAAGCCCTGAAAGAGTTAAGGAGTTGATCGAAGAAATGAGCACTCTGGGATTAAAACCTGATACGATTAGCTATAACTATCTTATGACTGCGTATTGCGAGAAAGGAATGTTGGATGAAGCTAAGAAAGTGTATGAAGGGCTTGAAGGAAACAGCTGTGCTCCCAACGCAGCTACTTTTAGGACATTGATATTTCATCTGTGTTACAGCAGATTGTACGAGCAAGGCTATGCGATCTTCAAGAAGAGTGTGTATATGAACAAGATTCCTGATTTCAATACTTTGAAGCACTTGGCTGCGGGATTGGTGGCGAACAAAAAGATAGATGACGCGAAAGGGTTGATTAGAACGGTGAAGAAGAAATTCCCTCCGAGCTTCATGAATGCGTGGAAGAAACTCGAGGAGGAACTGGGGCTGGATTCAAAAACGGATGCTTCTGCAAAAGAAGCTGCTGCTTAATAGCTCAATAGCATTGTGATTGAAGATTTGATTATGTTGCTTGAGCTATTTAAGACTTGTTGAAATTTATGATCTAGTATGCAGGTCTATTTATAAGCTGTCCCTGCATTTTTGCTTTCCTCATAAATTAGCTTGTAAAAGCTTGAAGTTTTTGTTGTTGGTGGTCAACAATATCCAGCTTCATAGAGTTCACTTGTATGTTCTACACACTTGCGCTTTATGATGATTTCAAGTTTCTCGTTCATTTTATGTTTTACATATTTTTGAAAAGGTCCAAGTTAGACTGTTCGAACTCAGTTTATGACATGGCTTCCCCTAGTTTTGATTTTCCCAAGTGACAAATATATGGATTCATAGGATTCTGATAATTGAGAGTGTTCTGAGTTCAATATCTTTAAGCACATTTGCAAATCCTAGAGTGTTGTGTAAGATAAACCATTATTCATTACAAATTTACAGTAGATGACTCCTGAATATTATATTTTATAAACGGTGGAACGTTTTCGTTGAAAGTATGTTTTCTTCATATACTAATAAGTCCAATATTAACTTTTGACGAAAAGAGTCCAATAGCACCACTCACCCGGAAACAGAACAGTACAAAGTTGGTGAACAAAATCTCTGTAGTGTTTATAAAGTGAGCTTTTGAAAATAAAAAACGTGTAATCAACTTTGATGTGTGTTAAAAGTTTAACTTTTAACAAAATTTGAAAAAATTTAACAACGTTAAATCAGGAACGTGAAAATCAACTGTAATGTCGTTTCAACAGTTGCTCCACGATTACTGTTTATTTTTATTTTTTTGACTTGAGGCGTCTGAAAGCTATATAAGCAATACAAATTTAATTCGTCCCCTTTCTCAAGTCACTATCTAAATCATGTTCATATCTCAAGAGCAAAAACCAAAAGAGAAGGGCAAAGACGACCGAACACCAAGTGAAACTAATTTTTGGTTTTGTTTTTCAATAGTCAAACCGTTTTATCCTAATCTAGTACACACCAAGTTTGTCGATGAACAATCCTGCATGAATCCCAACTTCTTTGGTTGTTTTGGAAAAACAAAACAAAAAGTATTTACAATCGCTCGAAATCGAAGCTCATCTCGTGGTTTATATTATTATTATTTTTATTTTTATTTTTTTTGAGTTTGTTCATTTTTTTAAATATTATTATTTAATGAATACTTCATCGGCTATGTGTGTTGTATGTGTGTGATAACACATTCTTTACATGACGTTTGTACCACACGAGGTTACGGCTGCGCAGATATGGTGTATACTGTTTAGTCCAACATTTGATAAATTATTAAAAGTAAGTATCGAGACTTTTCTTTATATTTCTTTTTATAATTAAGACAAAGTATTGTTTTCAAGATATCGAATCCAAATTAATTATTGAAGATATTTTCTCTTCAGTTGGTCCCCATTTTGGTTTTGAATTTTAGCTCATTTTTAGGGTTTTCTTTAGAGGTATGTAGTTTTCTACCGCATCATGATGTAAGTTGTAGTTGTAGGGTTGTATTTTCTTGAGGATATCGAAATTGCGTTTAATATTTGGTTGTCTTACGTATTAAAGTATGAATCCTAATTTAAGTATTTTGGTTATTGGCTGATTTCAAAAACAAAAAAAAAGAGAAAAAATGTATTTGGCTTTTCACATGATTCAAAGTCTAAAATCTTTAGGATTTAAGATTTAATTAAATTCCATTTAATGGGATAGCCACTTGACTTCTGGTAACAAATCATCTAAAAGTTCAAACTTTGAAAAATAAACATTTAAATGGACCCATGACGTTTTACACTCTTCATAGTTGACCCTGATGAGTCAAGCCAAAATATGTGTTTGGGTATCACACAGTGACATAATTTTTTTGAAAACATTCACGAGTATAAATAAAAACAAGAACATTTAAAAATCTTCACGAGGATCAAAACAAAAAAAAACAGATATTAAAAATAGTTCTTATCCAGTAATAATACAACGGATTCTTGTCGGTGTCTCTAGCCCTATCTTTTAATCTTATAGCTGGTCAAATTAATCCCCCCCCCCCCCCCCCAAAAAACAAAAAAGTCAACTTTGTTACGCATACGTTCTTATCCAAAATCCAAACTTAACTAAAACGACTAACGCCAAGTCAGGCATTTACACATCAGAGTTACCAAGTTAAGACTCTGGTCAAGCCGTTATTAAATAATTTACACAAGTAGCTGTATGGTCTGTAATTGGAATCTTTGATTTAGGTCATTTTATCACAAAACATGTCTCTTCTATAAATATATATAAAGAAGATGTGGATGACTTTTGTCCACCGGATTCATTTAACTAAATCCTCTCTTAACAAAGGCTTGTGGCTTTCACGAGTACTCTCTACCTAGCTCTCTGTGCTGTCTTCTGTTTTTCTTTTTTTCTTTTTCTTTTCTCTATATATTCGAATCTTCTTCTTCGGTAGTACTCAGAGATTAAGACCAAACTCTTAACTAACTTTCAGATAAAAAGCTTATAACTGTTAGAGACATTTCTATAGTTTTACGTCTGTATACCCTATAGTTTTTTCTGATTATATTTTTCTGGTAACGTGGTGGTGAATTAATTAATAATCATGGCCGATCAAATCACCGGCGAGAAGCCTGTCGGAGTTAACAGATTCGCTCTTCAATGTTCTATTGTCGCCTCCATCGTCTCCATCATCTTCGGTTACGGTTAGTATTTAGTTATATTAAATATTTTTAAATAACTTTTTTTTTTTTTGGTTCAAGATCATTGGGATAGTTTTTTTTTTTTTTTTTTTTGAGGATAAGAACTGATAAGGTATGTTTCGTTTGGTATGTAGATACTGGTGTTATGAGTGGAGCTATGGTGTTTATAGAAGAAGATTTGAAGACAAACGATGTTCAAATCGAAGTCCTCACCGGGATTCTCAACCTTTGTGCCCTCTTCGGATCACTCCTCGCCGGAAGGACGTCGGATATTATCGGACGGCGTTACACCATCGTCTTGGCCTCAATACTATTCATGTTGGGCTCAATATTGATGGGCTGGGGTCCTAATTATCCAGTTCTCCTCTCCGGTAGATGCACCGCCGGACTCGGAGTTGGTTTTGCTCTGATGGTTGCTCCGGTTTACTCAGCCGAAATCGCAACAGCTTCGCATAGAGGACTCTTAGCTTCTCTTCCTCATCTCTGTATCAGTATAGGAATCTTAATCGGTTATCTCGTGAATTACTTCTTCTCCAAGTTACCTATGCATATCGGTTGGAGACTCATGCTCGGTATAGCCGCGGTTCCGTCCCTAGTGCTAGCGTTCGGGATCTTGAAGATGCCTGAATCCCCACGTTGGTTGATTATGCAAGGCCGTCTCAAGGAAGGCAAGGAGATATTGGAATTGGTATCGAATTCACCCGAAGAAGCAGAGCTCCGCTTTCAAGACATCAAAACTGCTGCGGGAATCGACCCTAAATGCCAAGACGATGTTGTTAAGATGGAGAACAAGAAGACTCATGGTGAAGGAGTGTGGAAAGAACTTATTTTAAGACCAACTCCTGCAGTGAGACGAGTCCTTTTAACCGCTCTTGGGATCCATTTCTTCCAGCACGCCACCGGAATCGAAGCCGTGCTTTTATACGGTCCGAAGATCTTCAAGAGAGCAGGAATCACTACTAAAGACAAGCTTTTCCTTGTTACAATCGGTGTCGGAATCATGAAAACGACGTTTATTTTCACAGCCACTTTCTTGTTAGACAAGGTAGGTCGGAGGAAGCTTTTGTTGACCAGCGTTGGAGGTATGGTCATAGCGCTGACAATGTTAGGATTTGGACTTACAATGGCTCAGAATTCTGGTGGGAAATTAGCGTGGGCTTTGGTTCTGAGCATTGTCTCTGCTTACGGTTTCGTTGCAGTTTTCTCTATTGGGCTCGGCCCAATTACTTGGGTCTACAGTTCTGAGGTTTTCCCGTTGAAACTTCGGGCCCAAGGAGCGAGTCTCGGTGTTGCCGTGAACAGAGTCATGAACGCCACCGTGTCGATGTCGTTTTTGTCGTTGACTAAAGCGATAACCACCGGCGGAGCATTCTTTATGTTCGCCGGAGTTGCCGCAGTGGCTTGGAATTTCTTCTTTTTCCTCTTGCCGGAGACCAAAGGCAAATCACTAGAAGAAATCGAAGCGCTTTTTCAAAGAGATGGTGATAAAGTACGCGGCGAAAACAGCGCAGCTTAACATGTTCATGATATGTATCTTTTAAATGAAACGACTGCGTGTTTGCGGTTTAATTCTCATTACACGACGCCGTTCTAGATGTACTTTTGTGTGGCTTTTATCAAATTATATAAACCAACGGTCACGATCGACGCAAACCTTTAGTACACTTTGTTTACCAATTTAAGATCTACGGCTAATACATCGTCAATTACTTATCAGACAATGGCCCATTAATAATGGCCCAGTAAGTGAAGAGAGTGAACTGTGTTTTTCTTTTATAAAGTTCTCCCAGATTTAACAAATTCGAACCGACACTTTTGCAATTACACTGAATCTACCGAAATCGATTCATGAGAGCTTAGAATTGGTGTAATCGTCACTCACTACGCTAGATTTTTTATAGTGTAATTCATATTTGAGATCGAGATGAAGGACGACGATGCATTGCCGACGACGACGGCTACCACGGCGACGGGAACAACGATGGCGAATTCGAAGAAGGACAGCTCTGACTCGATCTTGTTTGGAAGAGGTCGATACAAGTTCTGGGCGTTTGCTGCGATTTTGCTTTTGGCATTTTGGTCGATGTTTACTGGCACCGTCACTCTTCGGTTATCCACCGGGAATCTAAACCGGTTCTCTGAAGATCTAGGGATTCCGATCTATGATAACCTCGACGTTCTGGTTTGTTCACCCATTCTCTTTCAAACTCTCGAGTTTTTGGTTGATTTGGTTTGTAGATTGTAATTTTAACGAAGGCTGATTTTGAGGTATTGGAATTTGTGGTGTTTTTTTTAGGAAATGGAGGAGAGGGAGAAAGTGGTGAAGCATATGTGGGATGTGTATACGAATAGTCGTCGAATCAAGTTGCCTAGATTTTGGCAAGAGGCTTTTGTAGCTGCTTATGAAGAACTCACTAGTGATGTGCCTGGGGTTAGAGAAGCTGCTATTGGTGAAATCGCCAAGATGTCGGTGCAGTCTATTACAATTGATCCACCTCCTTCCAGATCAATGGTGACGATTCTTGATTTAAAATTTCACTGGATTGTTTAGTTTTCTTTGATGGGTGTGGGATTTGTGAGTTAGAATCAGTAGATACAGTTTGAATATATGGTAGATCTTGCCTCTTGTTGTGGTACCTTTGCTGGTTCTCTTTTTCTATTAGTGGGCTGGAGTAGATGGTAATGTTCAATCTCGAATCTGGAGTTTCGATCGTGATTTGTGAGTGTACTTAGTTTGTTAAGTTTTGTGGTCAAGTTCTTGTGTTTCTGCTGATCAGCTATTGATCATTTGGTGTTACTCTTTAAGTTATAATGGTCCAAGGTCTATTTTTGCTGGAAGATTGGGTATGAAGAGTGTTAAGATTATAGGTTGTTACATTTTAGAGATACTGGTCTGTAGATTATGTCTTCTTACAAAATATGTTATGAGATTTTAGAATGCTATAGCTTTCGGTTTTGTTTCTGGCATTTATTGCCAAACCCCTTTTGTATAAGTTAGTTGGGGAAGTTTGGTAGAGCTTCCACCACACCAAGTTAGATTCTTGATAGACATCAGAATTTATATATTTAATATCTTCTCTTGGATTGTTCAAAGACAGGGTTAACACGAGTTTTCTGTTTGGTTTGTTCTCAGAGCGCAAGGGATTTGGGAAGAAACTTGAAGAGAATTCTACACAAGCCAGCAACAAAGTAGCTGATAGTGGTATTGGTAACACGCGTTTACATATAAACCTCAGATCATATCTACTTTTGCTGAAGCCAAAAGATGAACTACCAAATAGATGGTTCAATTTGGAATATTAAATTTCTTGTTTTCGAGATCAATTTTCCTTCTATCGATTGATAATTACGTAGAGTTACATTTATATATATAAATATAAGAACCAATGGATCCTTGTGATACATTTCATCATGAATCTGTGTGTCTAGTGCCAAGCTCTCACCATTGCCAACGTTTCGCCACATTTGTGTCCGGTCCTTACAGAAATAAATTTTTGGTAGCTCATTCCAATTTCAAGATCTCCAATTTTCCATTGAGCAAATAATATAACTTTTTAATATAATTGAAAGTCATAAAATGATGAAAAATATCTTTTATTCTGAGAAGAACAAATTATCGCGGTTATTTTTTCTCTCGCCTTATCACACGTCGGAGAGCAAAAAGAAAAGGAAATATTCAAAATAGAGGGAAAAAAATGAAGTGTCCATACTGTTCATCGGCGCAAGGACGGTGTGCCACCACAAGCTCCGGTAGATCGATAACGGAGTGCTCATCTTGCGGTCGCGTTGTAGAAGAACGGCAGACGCAAAACCAACACCTCTTTCATCTCCGAGCCCAAGACACTCCTCTCTGCCTAGTCACTTCTGATCTTCAAACGGCGGCGCAACCGTCTCCAGAAGACGAGGAAGATCCGTTTGAACCTACTGGATTCATCACCGCCTTCTCTACTTGGTCACTCGAGCCTAACCCGATATTCGCTCGCTCTTCCCTCTCTTTCTCTGGTCATCTCTCTGAACTCGAACGAACCCTAGAACTTGCTTCCTCCACATCGAATTCTACAAATTCGAATTCTTCAACGGTTGTGGTGGATAATCTTAGGGCTTATATGCAGATTATCGATGTGGCGTCGATTTTAGGGTTGGATTGTGATATCTCTGAGCATGCTTTCCAGTTGTTTAGGGATTGTTGCTCAGCTACTTGCTTGCGGAACAGAAGCGTTGAAGCTTTAGCCACTGCTTGCCTTGTTCAAGCTATTAGGGAAGCTCAGGAGCCTAGAACTCTTCAGGTACCTAGAAAACCTTATTTCATTACTAGTTTTATTTGAAGATTCAGCTACTAAGCCTTCATTTTCTTGAAACTGCATTGTAAATTTCTTACATCAGATCAGAAAGTTTTGTTTGTTATTGTATCTACATTAGGGAATTATGATTTAAATGTATGTTGAGCAAGCCTTTGAACAGCTGCCATAAAATGCTGTCGAACTTTTTGAATTCAAGAACTAGAACCTCTGAAGCTTGTGTGTTTGCAGGAAGGAGTCAAGCTTCCATGTTGGTGTATTGTCTTTATAATAAGTAACTGTTGTTATCAATATTCCTACTTGTTTGATTATATTTGTGAACTATCCCCCCTCGTCAATTAGCTGTTAGATGCATATTGAGCAGCACTTTTCAGTTCAGTTTCCGGACTAAATTTCTGATTCATGTATTTCTCTTGCTTTTTCACAATAGGAAATCTCCATTGCAGCCAATGTACAGCAGAAAGAAATTGGGAAGTACATCAAGATTTTGGGAGAAGCTCTACAACTAAGTCAACCCATCAATAGCAACTCTATATCAGTTCATATGCCAAGATTCTGTACCCTCCTTCAACTAAATAAATCCGCTCAGGTGTGCCACTGACCTTGTACTTCTTTTTGAAAGGCTTAAAATGCAACGTGAATGGTGTATCAATAATGCCTGGAATTTTTCCCTCTTTCAGTGAGACTTACATATATCTTCACAAGGCAGAATCCCAAATACACCACTCTGATTCCTATTCTAATCCAACGTATTTTTAATCTTCCTAGGAACTAGCAACACATATTGGCGAAGTTGTGATCAACAAATGCTTCTGCACCCGTAGAAACCCGATCAGCATTTCTGCAGCTGCTATCTATCTGGCATGTCAGCTTGAAGACAAACGAAAGACGCAAGCAGAGATTTGTAAAATAACTGGACTAACTGAGGTAACCCTACGTAAAGTGTACAAGGAACTACTAGAAAATTGGGATGACCTGCTCCCATCTAATTACACACCAGCCGTCCCACCAGAGAAAGCCTTTCCCACAACCACAATATCCACAACCCGCTCAACAACTCCTAGAGCTGTGGATCCACCGGAATCAAGCTTCATGGACAGAGACAAGCCATCAGTCAAACCAATTGACACTTGTGATCATACCTACCAACAACTTAAAGGAAAAGAAGATAAGCAGCCAAAATTCAGACAGCCTTGGCTGTTTGGAACCGCCAGTGTCATGAACCCAGGAGAGATGATAAGCGAAGCAGGCAAACCTAATGCTATGGACTATGAAAAGCAACAACCTGATAAGCAGCAGCTAGGCGATAAGGACACATTGCCTGTATATTTAAGGCAACATAACCAATTCCCTTCAAATCCATCTCCATCTACAGGTATCAACACAATCAATTGGTCATTCCGACCTTCTGGTGTGCCGGGATCTTCCATAAACTTGCCTGTTGTTCATCCGCCAAAGCTGCCCCCAGGCTATGCTGAGATTAGAGGCAGTGCATCTCAAACAGGAAACAAAAACGTTAGTAATCCTCATGGAGACTTGTGCTAGAAAAACTATTAATGCACATACTCTTGTATTGTCTAGTCTTGTATGCATCTTGGCTTGTATACAAAATATTTCCAGACTATGTGATTGATTGGATTTACAGAGCAGCTGCGCTTTTTTTATGTTGGGCTTTGTAATAAATAGCTCATTTACCATGGTGGCCCATTATTATATTTTCTCTCCCAAATCTTAATTAAAGTGAAAGAATCTAGAAGGTAGGCCAATATTTGCTCTTTAAATTAAAAATAAAAATAAAAGAAAGACCAAAAATAAATAAGGGAGAGTCGTGAAGGAACTTGCTACGAAGATACCATTTGTCCAATGAGAAAATGTGCTTAGGTACGACGCAATGAATCGGTAAAACACCCAACAACGCATATTAGCTGTCCACTTCCCAAAACGCCTTTTTCTTTGTAATTTCTTTTTTTCTTTTTTTTTTCTTTGGTGTAAAACAACCGCCTCACATTAAAAACGCCCTAAAACACGTAATCTCTCCAATAAGATCAGTCTTAGACCGTTCATCTTATGTCTAACCAATCAATCTCGTCCGTCCATTAGTCCTCACCATCTATATATATAATAACACGTCTACCTGTTAGGTTCTCTCATACCCGCTTTATTCATTCAACTTTTCTTCATCGTATTCTCTAGATCTCTCTACGACGCCGTCGTATCGGAGGCTACTCGATGTAGATCGTCACATATCTGTTTCCGATCTACAGATCGGCGTCTTTTATGAAGAGATCGAGTTTCTTTGGCTGTTTCATCGGCAGAAGACGGATCGTACAGCTCAAGATCCCCGAAGATCGGTTGAAGAACTGGTAATTATGGCTTCTCGTAGCTCGATCTGATAATTGTTTCGTTTAATTCGATTGATCTAGATGTAATTCTTATTTGTTCATCTAATTTCGGAATCCAGATCTGATCCTATCCTTGGATCATGAAATCGGCCTCGAGGTTTCTCAGATCTATGGTATGCGGCGCTGATCTGTCGATGAGGTGATGAATCCGAGCTTTGGAGAGGAGAGATTGAAGAAGAGAGAAGAAGCTGATGTGTTGATTTGATGTGAGTTATGATGATGGATGTATGAGATGTTTTGAGGGACGATACAGCCTTTTGGGGATAGTTTTGAAAAAAGGCTTGAGTTCCTGAGTAAAAACATCTTTGTCATCCGACCTTTGCCATGACAGGTGCGCTTGCATGGCAGGTCACAAATCCTTAATAAAAAAATATAGTTTCGTGTTGGTTGAGGGGAGTTCGCACGGGGGATTTTTTTTTGCCCGGGTTCTCCCCTCTCTTTTTGTGTGTCTTGCTTCTCACTCTTGCGCACTCTCGATTCCACAAATATTTCTCAGTTCCACAGAAAATTTCTCAAAACGATCCGGATCAGTGGATCTGGAGACAAGCTGGCCATCTAAATCCAAACAACAAAGGTACTTTTAATTTCAAAATTTCAATTATCTTTAATTGCTTTGTTTCAGTCATATAACAATCCTGCATCATTCAACAAATCTGACTCCCCCAGTAATCTTACATCCCCGAACTGTTTTTCAATTTTGTTTCATACCACATATGTTGACTGATTTAATCATTATTATGCGGAGAATTGCTGGGAATTATAATTGTTGTAGCTGTGATATAACTCCTCTCTCTCTCTCCAGTTTTGATACTTTCAGAAACGCAATTTATTTTATATGCAATATATTTTTGCTTGTTATTGATTTGTCTTTTGTAAAGAGCGATGTTTAAGAGTTTGTATCCATTTTTGTGATCATCCATACAGAAGTATTATTATTAAATTTCATTCAATAAAACATGTTAATGTATTTAGAAATTTCTACTTGGATTTATCCTGGGACATGAACTTGGGAGCTATGGTCTAGCAGCTGGAGAAGCAATACATACCGAGGTATCTAAAACAAGTAGTCTGTACAATGAAAATGTGTATGAAGGCGCTTTGATACCATATTGATACAACAGCTCTTATGTTTTATATTATTGTTGACAATCTAAATTCTTGAAATTTTATTAGTTTAAACTATTGTTGTATCATGTTCTTTGATTTCTTTTGCACTATATTATGAATATATTTTGAAGGCAAGTTTCTTTTTCTATAAATGTTTTTAATGTGATACTGTTTCAAATGATACTTGAAAGGTATTTTAAAGTCTGATTTTTATCTGATTGGTTTTTGTTTAGGCTGTCATCTAATTGTGTATAGGGTTTGCTTTCATGAAGCTTCAAGATGGAGAGAAGATAGATTGGATGGGTTATTTCTAAATAAAAGGATTGACAAAATTCTTAGCGTAGCCCATTGGCTTTAACCAGTCGCTCATGGTTTTTGTTAATAGATCTGTAAGCTCAAAATGGTAGAGCTCTCATTACGAGAGGTTGGTGGTTCGAATCCACCCAGATCTGATTATTTTCAACCATCTTTCGCCGCTGTAATTTATTGTATAACACAAATTTTGAAATGAAGTTAGGTTTGATGAAAATGGGACTCTCTCTTTGTCTTTAGCAACCTGCACAAAGTGAAGTGGAATTGATCATTGTTGAAATGAAATGAGTTTAGGGTTATACATTTGATTTTCTACCAGACATGGTCGTTGGATTGCCAGAAATAAGAACCATATAATATTCTCTATTTTACCAAGATTTGCAGGAAGATGTGATCAACATATTATATTTATTGTAGTTGGGGACCTTTATGATGTAGAAATTGTTAAATCAAGGTTAATTCATTCGCAATTTTCACCTTATTTCAGTATTTCTTTTTTCCTTGTTTGTTAAAAGATGTCTTAGTAAATCTTTGTTAAATAGTTTTATATTACTTATGTGTAATATTTGATGAAAAAAAAAACTTATGTGTTGTATTTAAAAGTTGTACAAATTTTAAGCAAATAGTTTCTGCATTTTAGTCCTACAATGTAACTATGAACTTAAGTAACTCAATTATATAAAATAACTTAAAATCCATGTAAATATATGACAGACTTTCATGATATGTATATTGTCAATTATAAGGTAATCTTAACATGTGCAGAGAGATCTTCCCAAATACTTATAATTTATCTCAATATTTTAAATGGACATGTATAAGACTAATAGGAGTGGATAATCCAATTTTTTTTTTTTTTTTTTTTTTTGAAACTTCCAAATTTAGATATGTTATGGTTTGGCTTTTTTGAAAGAGTGAAACCTATAAAAACCGTAGTTTGGTTTTAATTGCGTTTTGGTTTGATGTGATTCTAGTTTGGTTTTCTCTTGAATTATTGAATTTCAGTTAGATTGACATCGCAAACATTTGAATACCAAAAATAACGATGTGGTAACAACAACAAAAGATTAATATTACAATATTATGCCCGAAAGAAAAGGATTAAAATACAATAATATTTAATATACACCTATCTAAGAGAAGACAAGTTTTGTAGCTAGAAGAGATATGATATGAAACTATATAATTAAGAAATGATTAGGTATCATATTAACGTCACATGTGTAATTTTTAATGTTAATACTTGTTCCAACGTCAATGCTGCTGATTTAATTTAAAAACCATAGAGATGCCAACTTATGTGGCCACACTGTATACCGTTTTATTTGGAAGATTAAACCAAATCATACGCACATGATTGTGTTTCTAAACCGAATCTTTTAAATATTTTTTTAAAAGTCGATAGATCGAGTAAAACGTTACATTTAAATTAAGAAAATGTAAAAAAAAAAAAAAAATGTATGAATTAGCTGATGGCTGATGCAGTCTTTTATGGACTTGTCTTCTAAACCTTGAAAAGAGTGGTTAGCACATAACTAATGACTTTCTTTGAAACTAATTACTGAATTCAAGTTGTTGTCTAACTATAATAGCAACGTACGTATTGTAGATGGACTAGATCGTGAAACAACAGATAATTTAACTTTTTAACAAAATATGTATGTATAATAAGAAAAATACAAAGACAGATAAGAGTTTGGTGAACGTGAAAGAAGGTTATTACTTGATGGGGATCTTGCCCTCTTGGAAAAATCACCAAAACTATTACTTGGTGGGGATCTTGTCCTCTTGTCATAAAATCGTCTCAGATCTGATTTATTTTGGTCCAACGTCAAAAATGATATTAATAAAATAAAATAAATTGAATAGAAAAAAATAATTTCCAATTTAATTGACCTTTCACAATAAACAAACAAACAAACAAAAAATTTGTATTACATGCGGACAGAAAATGGCTAATGTGTCTACACGTTTCTAAAGCATTTGTTTGTTTTTAAAGTCCTTAGGAAGTGGGAATGATACTCTCGCTTGTGGCGTGACGACCAAACTCCCATTGTGATCCATACTCTTTCTCTCTCTCTCTCTCTCTCTTTCTCTCTTTGATTGATCAGTTTCTTTCATCTACTGAAAGAAACGAAACGAAAGAAAGATCTGTATTATCAGGTCAGATTCTCTCTTTTTTACCTTTCGATTTACAAACTCTCTTTTGATATGATGCGAATTAGGTTATAATCATTTCCGTGAGCTTCGATCGTAAATTTCTCGTCTTTTTCTCCTTCTTCTTTCTTTCTGTGTCATGATTTTATTTACTGAATACTTTAGAAACGTTTAAGATTCGCGATCATCATACTGTATTTAGTATGTTTCATGGTGACCATTCAAGAAAAGAAAGAACAGACCCTTTTTGATGGAAACAGGTTTTGAAGAATTGTTTTGTTTTAATGGAACTAATTACTTAACTCTTTTATGTCCAAGTACTATATAATTCGCTGTTTTTGTGTGTGTTAATAAATAAAGTCAAATGTAATCAATTCTTTGAATCACAAGAGTCATTCATCAATTCCATATTTATGTCTTTTGACATGTCGTTCTCTAGAAGCTTTAGTCACCGTTTCATCTTGTATAGAATTTTGTCAGATGTTAAGAAGATTCAAAGGTTGGATTACAACGAAAAGTCTCTATACCTGCTCATTTGAGATCTTTATGTGGTAAAATACTAGTATAAGAATCCTTTGATCCTGTTTTAGATGTAAGGTTTTGTGTTTACGAGTTTTCTATTGATAAGTAAAAGGTTCTTTTCCTCATTCTTGGATAGTCTTTAGGAGTTGGTTTGCTTAAAAGTGGATTAGCAATTTCAATATATCTGTTTTGATCTTTACTAGGCTTTGAAGCTGTCTCCTTTTTAAAGCTTAAAGATTGTTAAGTAAACATGTTCAAGAGAAGGAATGCTCACCAACTCGAGGATGATTCTCACAAAGATAACAAGGTACCTACAATGGAAGCTTCTTTTTCACTGTATGAACATTGATATTATTTAGTACTATAGTTATAATAACTTCTACAACTTCAGGTTATCGAGCTGAAATCTGCGATAGGACCGCTCTCCGGACATAGTTTAGTTTTCTGCTCTGATGCTACCTTGAGGAGATATTTGGATGCTCGTAACTGGAATGTGGAAAAAGCCAAGAAAATGATTGATGAGACTCTTAAATGGAGATCAACATACAAACCTCAAGAGATCCGTTGGGTACACATATATACATTTTTGAGTTTTATTATTTACTTCTTTTCTTTTGTTCAGCTTGAATCATCTTTTGAATTTGTCACTCCAGAATCAAGTAGCACATGAAGGTGAGACCGGGAAAGTTTCAAGAGCTACTTTTCATGATCGACAAGGTAGAGTAGTGCTTATAATGAGACCCGCATTGCAGGTTAGTAAGCCGATTTTTCGCAATTATACTTATATACGACTGAATATTTTCCATAAGTTTTAAAAACTTACATATATATCTCACTCAATCTTATGAAACAGAACTCAACTTCACCAGAAGGTAATATAAGGCATTTGGTGTATCTTCTTGAAAATGCAATCCTAAACCTTCCCAAGGGACAAGAACAAATGTCTTGGCTCATTGATTTCACTGGTTGGTCTATGGCCGCTAATGTCCCTATGAAAACAACACGAGAAATTGTCTACATTTTACAGAATCATTACCCTGAGAGACTCGGTATGGCTTTTCTGTACAATCCACCAAGAATCTTCCAAGCAGTCTACAGGGTACAAAAGAAAAACCATTCCTCATTACAACACTCTCATCAAAATTGTCTCTCTCTCTCTCTCTCTCTCTCTCTTGAGTTTCATTACCTACTCTTCTATTTGTGTAGGCTGTGAAGTACTTCTTGGACCCAAGAACAGCTCAAAAGGTGAATTTCGTGTACCCGAAAGACAAAGCAAGTGATGAGCTGATGACATCACACTTCGATGTTGAGAATCTCCCCAAGGAATTTGGAGGAGAAGCAACACTAGAGTATGATCATGAGGATTTCTCAAGACAAATGTGTGAAGACGATCTCAAAACAGCAAAATTCTGGGGACTAGAGGAGAAACACTATCCGAAACCAAACGGTTTCTCTGCATCCGATGTTGTTCCTGAGCCGGCGACTTCTATAGCATCAGCAGCTAGCTGAGAGTTGAATATACACATATACAAAGAAACAAGAAGAGAAGAAGATAAAGGTTTATTCTCATTGATAGAAGACGAAGTGCCAATAATAATAGAATATGTGCTGGTTGTAACTTGGAGATTAATAAAGTTCTAAAGTCTTTGCCTCTTTTTTCTTATAAGTGAGCCAAAGATTATATGATAATGAAGAGACTACCCTTGCCATTAAAGCTTTATGTAAGTGTGAGAATATTGTTGTTATGTGTAATTCTAGTTTTGTGTTCCTTAATTGAAGTTATGAGATTATCCTTTTAGTTTTGTTCAAAAAAAGAAAAAAAAAATTATCCTTTTAGTTATGATGTTATAGACATAGTTGATAGTTCTGATGAACTATGTAATTGCTATCAGCAAACATCGTCGTTTACTTAATATGAAATAATCAAATTTACACAATTAAATTAGATTAATATTGATTAGTTCCCACAAACGGTCCCGTAGCTCAGTTGGTTAGAGCGTTGGTCTTATGAGCCGAAGGTCGCGGGTTCGAGCCCCGCCGGGACCATTTGTCTTAATTTAATTGAAATCTTATATTTTGAGTGTTTTTTTCTCTATAATCATTGCACGTTCGATTGTGAAAAAATCATATCTGTCTCTGCTCCAAGTTGAATTCAAAGCTCAAAAATTGAAAGGATGAAACTTTTGATATAAAAATCGTTTTACTTTTTTGTATCATCGGACTGGGTTCATTCTCCAGATTTTACCCCAATTTGTTTTCGTCTAATTGGATTTGAACACCATGAATCCTTGGTGATTAACCCGGAAGAAGAAGAGGTACCCAGAAGATTTCAAAGCTCAACGAAATGGTTCACAACGCTTATGATTCGTTCCAGCTTCTCAAAGATTGTCCCGCTAGGATCGATGCTGTTGAATCCTACGGCTCGAAGCTCTTCGCCGGATGCTATGACGGCTCCCTCCGCATTTACTCTCCGCCGGAATCATCCACTTCCGATCCGTCGGAGCTGCATCAAGAGACTTACGTGCTCGAGACAACCGTAGCTGGATTCTCTAAGAAACCGATTGTGGCGATGGAGGTATTGGCGTCGAGAGAGTTGCTTTTGTCTCTCTCTGAGTCAATCGCGTTTCATGGACTTCCTAATTTGGAGACTGTCGCTGTGATTACTAAAGCTAAAGGTGCTAATGCTTATTCTTGGGATGATCGGCGTGGGTACTTGTGTTTCTCTAGGCAAAAGAGGGTCTGTGTTTTCAAGCATGATGGTAAAATCTCTGAGCTTTTCTACTCGATTTTGAATCATGAGTCTACCACATTGTGTTGGATTTTGATGAAGATTTGATTCTGTTGATTGGTGGTATTTTTCCAGGAGGAGGGGGATTTGTAGAAGTGAGAGACTATGGAGTTCCTGATACTGTCAAGTCCATTTCTTGGTGCGGAGAAAACATTTGTTTAGGGATTAGAAAAGAGTATGTGATACTTAACACTGCCAATGGAACACTCTCTGAGGTGTTTCCTTCTGGTAGGGTTGCTCCTCCTCTTGTCATATCTCTACCTTCTGGTGAACTTATTTTGGGCAAGGTATATATGGCTTTCCTCTTTCCCTGCTTAATGTGTTGGCTCGGTTTTCTTACCAACTCTGTATTAAAATTTTGAATGTGTTTCGGTGGTAACGTTTTTTAACATCTGTTATTTGTTTCATCTGACATCTTCTTGGCCGCAATATTCTTACCTTGATCTGTTCGTAGATTTCAGATTGTTTTGGAGTGTCTTCTTCATTAGTTTCTTTTGGTACTTTTAGGAGAACATTGGAGTTTTTGTTGATCAAAATGGAAAGCTCCTTCAAACAGAGAGACTTTGCTGGTCAGAGGCCCCAACAGCTATTGTTATTCAAAACCCGTATGCTATAGCCTTGTTGCCTCGTCGAGTTGAGGTATATAAAGTGCCTGCCTAGCGATATTCCAGTTTGCTACTCTTCTCTGGAAACCTGTTATGTGATTATGCCTTTTGGCTTTGTTTTGATAGGTTCGCTTGCTTCGAAGTCCATATCCTTTAATACAGACAATTGTTCTTCAAAACATTCGTCGCCTTGTCAAGAGCAACAATGCTGTGATTGTTGGTTTGGATAACTCTGTTTATGTTCTCTTCCCTGTCTCTATTGGTGCCCAGGTATTCACTTTAGCTCTGAGAATATTAATGTTTCTTGCTACTGCTCATGGTTTCTCATGGATGAATATGAGAATGTGTTACAAAGAATAAAATAAAAAGAGAATTTGTAACATTTTACCTCATATATCAGTTGGATATGACACTATTTCAGTTTCTTTGGTGTGTTAAAGTAATGGGACTTTGCTTTAACTCTAGTAGATGCTTTTGAAATATTTTGAAAAGGTTGAGTTTCATCGCAGATTGTGCAATTAACAGCTTCAGGAAACTTCGAGGAAGCCTTGGCTCTATGCAAATTACTCCCCTCTGAGGAGTCAAGCCTACGAGCTGCGAAAGAGAGTTCAATTCATACAAGGTCTGTAAGCGAGAAGCCCTTCTCTACCTTCTAACTGTTACCCATTAATCGTAAGGTGCAGTTCTATGGGAATCTTTATGTTCATAATCATTGTCTCCTTCTCATTATACAGATTTGCTCACTATCTTTTTGAAAACGGGAGCTATGAGGAAGCCATGGAACACTTCCTCGCATCTCAAGTAGATATAACGCATGTACTTTCTATGTATCCATCCATCATTCTTCCTAAAACAACTATTATTCCTCAACCAGATAAGATGGTGGACATATCTGGTGATGAAGCATCTCTGTCAAGAGGTTCATCCGGCATTTCAGATGATATGGAGTCTACATCTCCACGGTATTTTTTGGAATCTGAGGACAATGAAGCCCTTGAATCTAAGAAGATGAGTCACAACACTTTGATGGCTCTTATAAAGTACTTGCAGAAGAGAAGGCCGGCTATTATTGAGAAGGCCACTTCTGAAGGAACAGAAGAGGTCATTTCAGATGCTGTTGGTAAAACATATGGGGCATATGATTCATCTAAGTCTAAGAAGTCCAGCAAGGTGCATAGAATTTATCTTAATTGATGACTAGTTCTTGGATAGTTAAACTTTATATGCTTTTGGGAGCTACTGATTGACTAATTCCCTGGAAACTGATTCATACATAATATAAGTTTTCCTTGATTTGTACGTTTGAAAGTATTGTTGAGGATTTAACATCTTTTTTCTGCAGGGACGTGGTACGATCCCACTTAATTCAGGTGCCAGGGAGATGGCTGCAATCCTTGATACAGCTCTTCTCCAAGCACTTCTACACACTGGCCAGTCTGCAGCTGCTATAGAATTATTAAAGGGTGTCAACTACTGTGACGTTAAAATCTGTGAGGAGATCCTCATGAAAAGTAAAAGTTATTTACAACTATTAGAATTGTACAAGAGCAATTCGATGCACCATGAAGCCCTGAAGCTTCTTAATCAGCTATCAGAGGAGTCCAAATCAAACCAGTCACAAACTGAAGTTACACAGATATTTAGTCCTGAGTTGATCATTGAATATCTCAAGGCAAGTTTTTTTGGTGCTAACCTTTTGTCTCGTCTATCATTAGATTCTAAATGGTCATAGAAAACTAAAAAATTGTTAACCACGTCTGATATTGGAACTGATTGAAAATAACTTAGTCTACATTCCCATTTTTTTAAAGTCTTGAGTATTCTACGAAGCAGCTGTGAGATGCTAACTGTCTGTTGCTGGATTTCTCTCTGCAGCCTCTCTGCAGGACTGATCCTATGCTTGTCTTGGAGTACTCTATGCTTGTCCTTGAAAGCTGTCCAACTCAAACCATCGACTTGTTTTTGTCTGGAAATATCTCGGCTGACCTTGTCAATTCGTATCTGAAGCAGCATGCTCCAAATATGCAGGGTAGATATTTAGAACTTATGATGGAAAGGAATGAAACCGCAGTTTCTGGAAATCTCCAAAACGAGATGGTGAGAATATAGAACTTATGGGAAACATTTTCATTGAGTTTACTTTACATATTGCTGGCAGTAACAATTTGGATAACGTTACAGGTACAAATCTACCTTTCTGACGTGCTCGAGTTGTATTCTGTAAAAAGTGAGCAGCAGAAATGGGATGAGAAGGATCATCCTCCCGAAAGGAAAAAACTATTGTCTGCGTTAGAGAGCATCTCCGGATATAGTCCACAGACTTTGTTGAAGCGTCTTCCACGTGACGCTCTCTATGAAGAGCGTGCAGTTATATTGGGAAAAATGAATCAACATGAACTTGCTTTGTCGATCTATGTTCATAAGGTACCGATCAATAATCTCCTCATTTTCCAAATATGATTGATTTCCTTGAACAAATAATCTTCTAAATGTTGGCTAGTTGTGCTTAAAAACACTTTGATATGCAAATTCTTTGGGTAGATATATCATTGTATAGATAAGTATGTTGTGAAACTATATAGAATTCAGATTTCCGTGGATTCTATAGACTGTTATTTATGGCTTAACTTATTGGGGTTTATACTTTTCTTATAGCTTCATGCACCTGATCTGGCGCTAGCTTACTGTGATCGTATATATGAGTCCATTTCTTATCTGCCATCTGGAAAACCGTCGAGCAATATCTACCTCACAGTGCTGCAAATATACCTGAACCCAAAGAAAAGCGCAAAGGACTTTGCAAAACGTATTGTAGCTCTAGGATCATTTGAAAGTTCAGACACCACAAAGATGATGGACTCTGTTTTGTCTTCAAAAGTTAAAGGAGGTCGATCCAAGAAAATTGTTGCAATAGAAGGTGCTGAGGATATGCGATTTGGTCTCAGTAGCAGCACTGACAGTGGAAGAAGCGATGTTGAGGCTGAAGAACCCATGGAAGAAGGAGACTCCACCGTTATGATTTCTGAAGTTCTTGATCTGTTGAGCCGAAGGTGGGAAAGGATCAACGGTGCACAGGCACTCAAGCTTCTACCTAGAGATACTAAACTTCAGGTAAAAAATGTTTCAGATCCGACTTAAAACTGATCCAATAGCGGCTTACTACTAGCATCTTATTGAAGCTCACCCATTCTTTATTCAATTGCTACAGAACCTGCTTCCGTTTCTTGCACCCCTCCTAAGAAATTCAAGTGAAGCACACAGGAACTATTCAGTCATCAAGAGTTTGAGGCAGAGTGAAAACTTACAGGTATGTTTGTGTTTCTGGAAGCCAAAGTAATCACATCACATGCATAAACGATATCTTTCTCGATCAAACCTTATTTTGAAGAATAATTCAACTGAAACCACATACGCTTTACTAATATAAACTGCTGGCACCTAGCATAAAAAGAAACCCTTAGGCTTGATGTCAATTAGTAACGAAGCAAATTAATGTGAAACAAATATAGGTGAAAGAGGAACTGTACAAACATAGGAAAGGAGTAGCGCAAGTAACAAGTGATAGCATGTGCTCATTGTGCAACAAGAAGATAGGGACAAGCGTCTTTGCTGTGTACCCCAACGGGAAAACTTTAGTTCACTTTGTCTGCTTCAGAGATTCTCAAGGCATGAAAGCTGTTTCAAAGACATCACATGGAAGAAGACGATGAGGTCATCATCATCATTACTGTAACAAAGACAGGTTTTAAGACCATCTGTTTTGTTTATACAAAACTCCCAAAGTGCAGTTAATTAAAGAAGAAGCTCCTTTCATTGTTTGTCTGTTTAGAGAGAGAGAGAGAGAGAGAGAGAGAGAGAGAGAGTAGG